TTTCTTAAGGAACTAGCTAGGGCATGCTTTGAATAGAGCCTGGAATTACTCTAGCATCCAACGTGTGTCCACTTCCTGACCCTCATATGTAGTTCCATTTAGACCCCTGATTTTTGTGATTCTATTTCATTTTTTTATTATTAGTGGCTTTTCGATGGAAAATTTTGGTATTTTTGTCTCCCTCCTTAAGCCAATATGCTATAAAACATTGTTTCCAAATTAGTTCCTCTCGGTAATAAAATTCACTGAGTTCCTTCTCCAACACCCTTCTTTGGATCACCACAGCTTTATTCTTTATGCTCTCCGAGACAATGTCTAATGCACGCTCATCCTTCATTATTCTTCGTTTGATATCACCAAACGTTTCTTTGCTCCACTAAGTAATTTTCCTTCACAAGCTTTGATCCTCTCCTCCATATTATTTCCTTGATTCTTCTGCCATTCTTCAGCTATTAGGGGTGCACATTCCTCATGTTTTTTGCCAGTAAGCCTCAAACCGAAAATGCCACCCCCCCCCCCCCCCCCCATTTTGAGTTTCTCATCTTGTAGGTATAATTCAATACCGACGGAGAAATTGTCTGAAACCCATCTTTCTAAATTATATAGTTGAGCAAACTTAAAAGAGATCTCTCCATTTACTATTAGCAACAACTTTGTCTAATCTCTCCTCCAAGAACCCTCCATCTTCTGTACCATTATCCCAAGTGTATATATTGACAATGTATCTCGATTCCTCTAGATTACAAGTTTCTAGAGCTTCCAGAAATTCTTCCATGTGGTGCGCATCAGGTGGTCTTATACCATTCTTTTCTTCTTATCCCAACACCTTATTTAAATCCCACACATAATAACCAGTGCATATGAACCTGCCTATGCAAACATAGTTCCCAAGTCTTCCTTTTCTTTCCTTGGCCGGGCCAACCATAAATCCCAGTTAATCTCCAATTCTTGGTTGGATCTGCCTCTTCAACTAAATCATCAATAAAATGTCTCGATAGATCTTTCATAGTCACTTGCATATCTTCCTTCCACATTAGTAACAGACCACCTACTTTGTTTTTTGTGAAAAATACCACTAGGAAACCCGAACTATGAAAAATGTGTCATTTGTGTCATAAAGTATCCGATATGACATTTGTGTCCTAAACTATTTTTTCGTTAGAGTTGAGTGGCGTTGACCGTTAGGTTTTAACAGAAAGTTTAGTCAACGTTTATGTGGCATATGACGTGAAATTTTATTATTTTATTATATTTATTTTTCATTAAAAAATGAATAAACTAACAAAAGGAAATTAAAAAAATTCAGATATGAAGATCTGCATCTCCGGGAAACAACCCTATTCACAATCATCTTTATACCCCTATATCCCTAAACTAGGGCTTTGCCGCCGAATCCGAGGGGAAGCTTGGATTGAGGCTTGGAAATCTTCACTCACGACCGCCCCGCTCCTCCTGCCGATTGCTCTTCATTCACAACCACCATAAGATTCCAACCATCCCGAATTCCCTCCCGCTCATGGATGACTCCTCCTCCATGGCTCGCTCTTCCTCTTCTCCTTCCCCTCCTCAACTGGCCACAATTTAGTTCTCGATCAACCTCAACAACTTCTCTTCCAACCTCCCGACTCGTGAAGCTGAAATTGAAAGTGAAATTGAAACCCACCAGCTGTTTCTTCGATTGGGTCATTGGATTTGGGGGTTTTCTTGGTTTCAATGTAGCTGAGGTAGAGGAAGAAATAGAGAAGCTGGCGGAGGGAGGAGGGGGCGACGAGTCAAGGTCGCGATTGGGGAGGTCGAAGTGAGAGTTATTATTTTTTATTATGTTTATTTTTTATTTTAGCTTTTATTTAATTTTGAATAAAAATATTAGGTGGCAGTGACGTGGCATCTACGTGGCAGCCACGTTCTTGCCAAGTCAGCAAAAGTCAATGTCAAGTTGACCACCATTTAGTCAACCGTATTTATAACGGTCCACGAAATCGTCAGGAAATAAATGACACAAAAACTATAATAGGTTGGGAGACAAATGTCATATTGGATACTTTAGGACACAAATGACACATTATTAATAGTTCAATTTTCCTAGTGGTATTAGCCCTTATTTTTTTTTATCCCAATCCTTTTCCACTCGATCATCCATATCACTCATGTTCCCATTCATGATTTTGCTTTTTGTTTCCATTAATAAAACAAAATCGGGTCTTTCTTCTAAGTAGCTCAGCTACTCTCTTCATTGTCGTGGGATTCCCCAGCTCATGACAGTTGTAACTTTGAACACTCATTGGACTGGGCGACCCTGCTCTTTGATAGAGGTCGCCTCATTGCCAACCATTTGTTATATATATATATTTTTTTTGTTTCTTAGTGTCTATGCCCATATCCATCACCTGATCGTCTCTCATTTCCCTCTTGGACCCTCCTACCAAAAATTTTGAAGGCCCCTGTGATCTCTCTTTGCTTTGTGGCCTACGTTTCCATGCTCCTTCCTTTCTTCATTGTACGTGGTTCTGTAGAGGTCAAGCCTTGTTGAGACTTCCATAGTGAAAGTAAATAGATAAGGGGACAAAGAGTCCTCTTGTCTCAACCCCTTCTTTGCTTTAAAACTTCTTGTATATCCTCCACTAAAACATACTTGGAACTTTGCACTCCATAAGTAAATACTAATCCAGGATATAAACTGTGAGGGAGATCCTTTTTTTATGAATGAGGGAACCCCATTGCTGCCACAATATGCAACATAAAAGTAATGTCAACATATATCCAACTGGCTATCGTTGTGTAGATTACCACAAAATATAAATTTTTTGCGCAAAAAAATTGAATTTGGAAATACAATGGAAGAAATATGATCCGATTAAGAATAATATGAGAATTGAAAAAAAAAAAAAGAGAATGTACTAGGTAACCCATTTTAATTGGATGACCGCAAAACTAAAAAGAAATCATTAAATAAAATTATAATTACTCTTTCTATTTAGACTTTCAGTCTACAAAGTAAAAATCTAAATGGCTATAACATAATATTAATAAATGTTTAGATCTTCAAAGAATGGATTAGTTAACGTTTATATTCTATAAAACTACTAAAGTACGTGATTATTGTAACTTTGTAAGTTGTGACTATTTTATAGAAGAGAAATAGGATAAAATTATAAGTGTATAGAAGTAAAACGGGTTCACATCATTTTAAGATTATTTAAAAATAAATGTTGGAAGTGTATATTTAACTAAAATTTGATGAATTGATAAAGGGATCGGGGGTGTTACCGTGTTAGCACCATGGTTACGTAATTCATTAATTATATTTTGGTTATCGGAACATCAAGACTAGAGGTGAACTTGACTTTGACAAGGCAGTTGGAACTGGAAAGTTTCAATTCCAAGTGATGTGCAATAGGTAGTAATATTCCCGAGTAATAATCCTATGTATGTCTAAGATCGTATTTCACGGGTCTTTTGATAGTAACTACTTTGAAACAAACTACTTATGCATTATTGGATAATAATAAACTAAATATGAAGGGTTGAGGTTCCTAGTGGTTTGATTGAAATTCTACTATCTAATAAGAAAAAACAAATAAGCAAGAAAGCAATTAAAGAACTATTGCTTAGATAGTTTCATCTAGATGATCATTTATATAATCTCACTAGTAAGATGCATCTATATATCTTCTACTATGATACTCTATCTCTTCGACTAAAGCATCATAGCCAAGCTTTCGCCACATGAGAGAGGACTACAACTAGTTGATGCGTGCTTTCACTCCATGTCATTAACTAATCAATAAAACAAGAAACTAAGGATAACTCATTTACTATTTATGGCATCTATAAGTCATATCAATGGTCTATAGCAATGATGATCTAAGTATCAAGCGTTGATCTAGCGTATGCAGGCATAGTTGTGTCTAGCTAAGCATACCTACACAAGGCAATAACACATCATACAAGAGTAGTTTTCTAACACTTAACATGACATTATAAACAATACCAGTGTAGCACATAATAGATGATATAAGCATAGAATGTTTAAGACATTGAATAACTAACACATTGGATGACATAAGCATCACATGGCTAATCATCTAATGATATAAACATCTAATGACCAAAGCATATCATCAAATCTGTCGCGGTCGGCTCTCCATTTTCTATTGTCCTATTGTTCTGGTTGCCATGCCGCCCAACATCTCGTGAAGCGTATAATCTTCCTCGCCTACATTTGTGCTCGTTTTCTTTTAGCTGAAAATTTTAATAAATCATGAAAAGACCATATAAATCATCACGAATTCCTATTAATTTCTAACTATATGATTTAAAACACCAACGTGATTAAGAGTAGGGATGACAATGTGAATCTGACCCTCCGAGAATTACCTAACTTGATCCGTGATGAGGCGAGCATTACTCGATCCGTAGTAGCATGACGTTGGGCATGGGTATCTACTTCCGACCTGCCGCGCCCCGCCCCGTTATTGACCTATTATGTCCCAATTTCTTTACAATATCTATTCATATTTATCATATTTTGCCTTTGCTTCAGCTAGTTAGACTCAATTACTCATTATATTGTCACTATTTTAATTCATAAAGTATTTTTCCTTTGTTTTATCATAAAAAGTAAAATTTTGTATATATTTATAATTAATATGTAAAAGTGAGTCGACACACTCTACCCCATATCAACACAATATTAACCGCCCCGACCGACACTAACATAGAACTACATATGAGTATTGAGGTACCACCCCGATTATTGTCATAACTGAGAACCCTTTAATCATATAATCTCATCCCAGAAACAAAGAATTACTCGTCTTCACGTCTTCCATCCCATTTATATATTATAATAAGTTTGTTGTTTGTAAAAAAAAAAAAAGGCTTCCGTAAGAAGTCTGTAAAAGAAAAGCAGCAGAAGAAAAGAAGAAAAATAGAAAAAGCATACAACTTTATTATTAAACTCTTCGTTTAATTTTCCGTTGTTTGCCTTGTAGAATTTCCTTAACGAAAAAAGAATAGGAAAAAGGACCCAATTCTCTAACGAGGAAATTCATCTTTCGTCCACGCAACCAAACTTTTGTTCGGCTGGCTGGCCCTCTTACCCCTTTGCAACTCCGCTCCGGTATTCCTTCCCGTCTGGTTCACTGCTAAAGGGAAATATAAGAGCTTTTCCGATCATCCTTGTCCTTCTTTTCCTTTTTCGCTCCTGGGTTTCCTTCTACTTCTCTAGCGAACCTTTCCTCTGCTGTTTATCTGTCTTCCTGGGTTCGGTAAATTCCAGGGGATACCTATTTGCCCCCTCTGTCCACCCGATAGTTCCTAGGCCGCTTCGTTTGGAGCTCTTGCTTTGCTGGGTCGCAGGTAATTCCATATTCTTGTCCTTTGTTAAATTAAGATTCTACGTTTGAGTTTCCGCTTATTGGCGGCGTGCCAGATAGTTGAAATTCTTCCAGCTCAGCTTCTTCCTTGGGTATTGGGTTTTAAAGTTCGGAGTTTTATTCTCTATGATCGATTGAGGTTGAATTAGGTGCCTGCAAAGTTTTACTTGAGCTCTGGTTTTAGAGTACCTTGATTTTTAGCTTCTATGAGTTCATGTTTGGTCAGTGGGAGTTTATTACTGTTTGGTCATCCGCTCACAGTTTTTGATGAATGCGCCGGCAGTTTGATGAGTTTGAACTATCGATAGGCTTTTGATTCTGGGGTTTCTTCTATGCGCAGTAATAAGTGTTAGGTTGAGTTCTATTACTAGAGCCTTTCTGAAGTTTTTATCTTTGCTCTTCATGGTCCTTATTTCGTGAACTTTATGCGGGAAGCAAATCATTCTTGTTAACCGTAAGTCAGTAGATTATTCACCATCTCTTGGTAATACACTGCCCCGTTTGGATTAAACATTCCTGCATTACCGCACCAGGGTGAGTCTTGCTGTAGAAGAACTACATAGTGGAAGTACTCAGACTGCAATGCATGGTGGATGTAATACTTTAAGCATGTAGAAAACTTGATTGTGAGCTGTTAATGAGTCATGACGTCTTAATTTCCTGCTTAATTATATTATCTCGATAACTTACTGGCAATAAGTAGTACTGTTGGTGAACAGAGAGGCCGTTTTGTAGCACACTTCATAGAATGTTGTCAAACTTTTTGCTTCTGTACCAATTACCCATATCTGTAAACCTCATTGTTCATTCGTGGTTATGGAAAATGCTTGCTTTGGCGCAGTACATCCTTGCCAAAGGTTCATAATAGATGGGAAAGAAACTCGAGAGAGTTTACCAGCCTTTTGTGCTTAGCAACAGGAAAAATCACGTTGCTTCAGACTTGTATACCCTATACCTATTTCCAACTTGATTCAGGAAATCTGATGCTGTCACTTAGAGCCAAAGGATGGCTACTGTTTTTTCTCTTCTCAAATTCTGTCTCATAAAATCCTGTATAGCTGTGTCCAAGTCCAATTTGTTTGGTTGCGCGGCCATTTTTTGCTGAAATGTTTAAGAACCTTCTATGAAAAAAAAAGGGGAGCTAAAAGATAATAACACAACAGTTTCGTTAATATAATTGGGAGTTTGGAATATCACATGTGGTATGACTCGTCCAGTGGGATATTTGTACAAGTCTAGTCCATTTCCTGGCATCAACTAGAACATGTACTTTAAGATGTTGGGATTATATTGTTGTGTGCTCACGTTATTGGGATGTGTCAGCAGACTGTTACTATTCAGTTGATAAATCAGCGATCCTGCAGCTGATTGGTTTGAGGCAGTAATAGACTGGTTGCTTAATTGGGGAATTTCGATATCAGAACCTCACTTCTTTTCCCTCCAATTCTATTTCCATTCTCTGTATTTCTTGTGAGTACTGGACTTTGAATCTACAATAGTTATACTATTTATCTACTTTTGATAAGGGAGATTTATTATGCTACGATGAGGTAATCAGCAAGTTCAACAGTACTTGTTATGTAAAGGGAAACCCCCCACCCCAACCCCACCCCACACAAAGAAAGGGGGGGGGGGGGGGGGGGGGGAAAGGAACGACAAGGTGTTATTCTGGATCCTGCCTTCTTTACAGGCTGTGTGACCAATGATCACAATATTTTATATGTTGTCTTAGTTGGTTTTTACAGACTGTGAGTGCTATCTCAATGCCACTTCAATTTAAGTCGTCTGCTTTGTGTTACTATGAATGAAAAATAAATCCCAGCTACAGCTTGTAATTAACTGAAGTTCCTTTTTTATTTCCAGAACTTTGTTGTAGCCATTTTTGCGTTCTGGGGGATGGACTGGTTGACTTTGCATACTCTATGCATTTGTGAATGATGTTCAGTGGGCAGACGAGCTCTAACACCCTCCGGAAATTTAATTGGAGATGGCATGATGACTCCACTTTGACAGCAGGCTTGCTTAAGGATGTGGCACCAGAGATTGAGCTGTCTGGTTATGGAAGGATACCAAGTCCTGGTAGTGAAAGCCCTTCTGGACTTCTTAATGGTGAAAGCTTGAACGTTGAGCCAATTGCTGATCTGGACTTGTTCTTTGAAAGGCTTTACAGCTACTACTGTGAGAAGGGCCTCTGGTGCATTATTATAAAATGGATAGTTGAACTCCTGAGCCTTGGTTTCACCATCTGTTTCTCGGGGTTTTTCTTACTTTACGTTGACTGGAATGGTTTACGTAATGCTAAGTGTGGAATGGATGCAGTTGAATCTGGAACCAAGCCTTGTGACCTGGCAAAAGAAGCTCTCCATGAACACCCATTAACCCCCTTAACTCTATCAAAAGCCATCATTGTTGGATATTTGGGATTATTTTCCATCTATCTGGTCTTCTGTTTCTTCAGGTTTTTCTCACAGTTGAAGGAGACCCTTCGGATCCGTCAATTCTATCACAATAGGTAACCATGATACCCTTATTAGCATGTCTGAAGTTCTTTGGGTTAGCTTTTCAGTGACTTTTTTTGCTTATCTATGGTAATTTGCTTATTTATTTTTTGATCTTGCTATGTTCTTTGGTTTTGGCTGCGTTGCTCCTTTTAATGGCGAGTACTTCAGGTATCAAACTGTGAATTGCATTTTCTTTTGCAGTCTTCATGTGACTGACAAGGAGATTCAAACTATGCCATGGGCAACAGTTCTTGAAAAGGTTGTCCAACTGCAAACCTCTCGACAACTCTGTGTGGTCAAAGACCTATCAGCCCATGACATGGTCATGCGATTGATGCGGAAAGAGAACTACTTGATTGGAATGCTCAATAAAGGGGTAATTGCATTCCCCATATCACCATGGATTCCAGGTGCGGGGCCAATTGTCAAATTTGGTTCAGATGGAACTCAGTATCGCTTGATTCTCACAAAGACTCTTGAATGGACCTTAAATTGGTGCATACTGCAGAGCATGTTTGATCGGTAAGTTCTGATATATGCTTGTTCTCGTGTGCGTTTGAATGCCAAGGACTGAACATTCTGATTTGTGAATGTTGTTTCGCAGAAACTTCTGTGTTAAGATGGACTTCCTTTCGAATCCTAAAACACTGAAAAAGCGACTTATGGTCGTGGGCATTGCAATGCTTCTGCTTTCACCATTTCTTGTCATATTCATGTTAGTATATCTCTTCTTGCGACATGCTGAGCAGTTCTATAATCATCCTGGCACAGCATCATCTAGACGGTGGTCAAATTTGTCGAGGTGGATGTTTAGAGAATTCAATGAGGTGTATCTCTGTCTCTTTGTGTTTCTCTCTTTCTGCAGTCTGTAAATTGGTTAATTTTCTTGTGCTTTGTAAAACAATATTCAGATCTCCCCCCTGCTTTTAGAATGACGCCATAGTCTTAACGTAACTGCTTGGAGTTATAGTTTGCTAATACCCCCTCTCTGATTGTTGTTGTGGCATCACACTGACAAAACATATACGGACAATTAAGTGAATTTGTAGTTCATATGTATGATGGTTTAGTGCAGGCTGCTGGTTGGTGGAAATATTGTTGTTTTTTGCTATCTCCACATGCTAGACAAAAGTTTCTTTCTATCTAATTCTTTTTCTATAGGCACTAAATTGAGCACTGGTGAATGGTGATTGAAGATTCTTTTGTTTGTGTCGTAGGTTGACCATTTGTTCAAGCATCGAATCAACAGCAGTATAGTGCATGCTTCAGAATATCTAAAACAGTTCCCATCTCCTATAATTTCCATTGTTGCAAAGTTTATCTCATTTGTATCTGGTGGATTTGCTGCTGTCCTGCTGATCATTGCATTTGTGGAGGAATCTTTACTCGAGGGCCATGTAAGAGAATTGTTTCTCCACCCCTCCCAAGAACTTTACCATATATGTAGGCTAGATCTTTCTCCGGTTAGTACCAATTTCAGCGATACATGTTATATCACATTGAGGATTTCATTTGTAGATCTTCGGGCGCAACTTGCTTTGGTATGCTGCTGTTTTTGGAACTATAACAGCTATCAGCCGGGCTGCAGTGACAAATGATCTCTTAGTTCTTGATCCGGAAGGAACAATGGCTGTGGTGGTACAGCATACTCATTATATGCCAAAGAGATGGCGGGGCAAGGAACATACTGAGACAGTTAGAATAGAGTTTGAAACCTTATTTCAGGTAGTGTGAGCCTCTTATCCTAGCTCAAATGAAGTAAAATGTAGTGCTTTCTTCTCTTTCTTTCATATTTGACTGAGTTCTAGGTTTGTTTTGCTCACCCTGGGGATTTTACGTGCTGCAGTATACTGGTATGATGTTACTTGAGGAGATGGCATCTATATTTCTCACTCCACTCTTGCTTTTATTTGTTGTACCTAAGGTACCAGCTTGTTCACAGATGTCTCTATCTTGTTCTGTGTCATATATTTAATAGTTTGAATTTATATACCAGATTTAAGCCATTACCTATATATTGTGCAGCGCGTTGATGACATCTTGGAGTTCATAGCAAATTTCACTGTGGAAGTGCAAGGCGTTGGTCATGTTTGTAGGTCAGTTTTTTATTAACCCTTAAAACCATAGATTGATCAAGAATGAACAAGTTTTGGTTTCTTTTCCTCTCGGCACTAAACAGTTTCATAATTTTCATTTAAACTATTGCAGTTTTAGTGCTTTTGATTTTCTAAATCATGGCAATAGCAACTACGCTTCGCCCTGTAATGCACCTCGCACTCAAAGGAGTTCTCAGGGAAAGATGGAAAAAGCAATGTTGAGGTATGACTATGTCCTGCTAGCAAATCTTGATGCAGATTGATTAATGTTTGCTCAAGCAGCTGGCCAAGTTCTAAATCTTAATTATACAATAGGTAATTAGTTTGCCCAGTGCAGGGCTTATAGGCTTTAAGAGCTAATTTTCCTATGTGGTTTTGCAGTTTCAAGAGTAGCTATCCTTCATGGGAACCAAATGCTCAAGGGAAGCAGTTCTTGCTAAATCTTAGGAATTTCAGGGAACAGAAGATGCAAGGACCAGGAATTAGACATATGTGTCACCATCCTCAAATGTTACGAGGCAGTCCTCTAAGCCTTAGAAGTGCTGGGGAGAGAAACACGACCATTTTTAGGGGTGCACCGTATCATACTGCTGGATTTCAGTTGGACTCCTTATGGTTGATTGACGTGGATCAAAAGAATCATCATCCATATCTTCTGGATTGGTACTATATGTCTCAACGCGACAATTTGATGAATGATAACACTAGAGAAGAACATACTGCACAACTTGATGTGACTGACCAACAAACCGAAGATTTCTGGAACCCTACCAATTTGGCACAGTGTGGTGATCAAAGATACGACGATGAAGACTACTGGGACCGTCAGCATTTTGATGATCGACCAGGCTCTCATCTGCAGGCTTCCACATCTGCTCCATTCTTTCGGGAGAGTGTGATCCGGCATCATGATTCCACTCACGGTGTTCATCGTCCTGGTGGAAGCCATTGGTGGTCCAGAAGCAACTTGCGCGGACAACAGCCCCAGGCAAGTTTCCTGGAGCCCCCTGATTTCAACAGATACGCTCATAGTAATCAGTTTGAGAATTTATCGGAAAGAAGCATGGAGGAACAAGAACAGGACCTGGAGTTGAGGAACTCGCGTAGTATGTCCAGGACTACTTACATGTATGATGATGACATTGAAGCTGGAGGGAATTTAAGTCTCCATTTTGATGAAGTGTATGGCAGCAGACCTCCTGAAACTGGAACTATAGGTGAAGACCATGAAGACCCACCTAGCTTTTAAAGAAAAACGATATGGGGTATAGGATCAGGTTATTAAGCCTGTGGAAGTTATGTTCGGATTTGTGGACTTGTACTCTTGTAGTGGACTTGTACAGGTTTAGATTTAATTGTTGTACATAAGATTCATTTTTAAGGTAGCTTTTCTCCAGTCAATTTTTAGAGGGCCACTCCATTCTGAGCTGCCTTCTGAAACTGTAAAGACTAAAGACAATTCAATTTAAATCCTACGTAGATTCATTAAATCTTCTGTTAACATCTGACTTCCAGTTTCTTTCTGATGGCTGCAATTCACTGCTAATGGGGCATGAGATCAGGTTATTAACCCTGAAAGTTTAAGAATTTGGAATCTTCGAAGTACAAGGAAATAATACCAAATACGGTTAAATCACTTTGTAGTCGTTAGAAATATTTTAGCGGTAAGCAACGACTCTTGGCCCAACGAAATACAACGAAAATACGCAAGCTTTAGGCCCAAAATCTCTTATGAGGCTAGTCAGGCAACCGATGATGGACCCGCGGGAAGCAACGACTCTATTTGGCGGGAATCAGACGTGGTAGGTCTCCAGCTCAGCATTCCCGCCTAAAAGAACCCCAATAAAAGCCTTTCCCTATTTCCCAACCTTACTTCCCCACTCGTCGGCACCGTTCCCCGCCGCGCCCTCTGCCATTCCATCTCTCTTTCTGCATCGCCTCTCAAAAGCAAAAACAACAAGAAAAACAGCCCTCCTTTCTCCGACGATGGAAACTAGGAAGACGAACTCTTCACATTCTTCATTTATTTCGACTCCTTCGAAGCCCAGAAAGCCTCCTCGTCACTCAACTCCCAAATCCAAACAACCCACTGATGGCTTCACAACACAGACGCCCGACAAGCCCTCGACGGAGCCGGCAACCGGACCCGTCCGCCGCCTACGCAACCGCTACGTGGCCCTCTCGCTGACTGAAATCAAAAGGGCGGCCACTCAATCCAGCCCAACCGATCAGGGTGTGTCCCGCCGCCGGACCCCCAAATCTGCCCGCCGCCTGATCGATTCTTTGCCTCATGCCCCATCTCCGTCTGTCCCTGCCGCGAAACCTGGGGTTTCCAGTCGTGATAGCTCTGCTAAGATCCCTGAAAAGTAAGCCGCTTCTTTTTTAGTGTTTGGGGTAGGGATTGAGTTTGAAAAGCCAGATCTGAGTGAATCGAATCCCCTTGACTGTTTACTTATAGTACTCGTAAATGGGTTTTGATTTTGGCAGGTACCAGGTGCTGATTGAGTTTTTCAACTGCTTAGATAGTTCAATTCGATTAGTGCGGCTGAAGGGCTCGTCCCCTAGTTTCTCCAACATTTACCCTAAAATTGAATCCCTAACGGGCAGGTACGTAATGTCTGTTTCAGTCCTCTGTTTTTAATTGCCTTACTATTCTGTGCCTTTTAGATCCAGTTTGTTCATTTCTGGTGTTGATTTTATTTTCTATAGGAGATTTTCTCCTAGAAATTTGGCTCAATTGAAGTATATATTACCGGATGCTATTGAGATAAAGAAGGTGATGAAGTTTGACGAACGGACAAGTTGTATGAAGCCTGATCTCCATGTTACTCTCAATCCTGATGGTATTGAGCTGGACGAGTTAGCGAAATCTGAGGACAAGTTTAGCCTTTTGAGGAAGATTTTCCTCAAACGCATTGAGGCATTTTGTCAATCCCACCCTGAGGTAAATTCATGTGCATCTCCAGTATTTCTGCTGGTTTGGTTTTAGTTATCCCTGCCCGTTTTAAGGTGTTTCAGTAGTCTTAGTGTACTCTATTTGTGTATGTTCTGTTGGTCTATATTGGAGCGTTGCTCTTGTTCTTAATGCCCCCCGTGTATTCTGTTGTACTCAGGGTGCTGAAGTTCCTGAAGAGATGCTGCCGGAACCATTCAATTATAGAAAGGGCGATACGAATGCGGATACTCCTCAGTACATCAATGCATCCTTAGACATCGACCACAGAGCTACTGCCAGTAGAGAAGGTTGTTGTGGCCCTCCATTTTCCACAGAGGCTGAAGCACTTGAGAAACTGCAACCAGAAGTAGCTTCTCATCTTTCGGGGTCTTTTAGGAGGTCCTTCTCCAATAGGAGAAAAATCGAAGCACGGATTGTAGAGAATGGGTCTTCAAATGCATCAGTCAGGGAGGCATGCCTCACCTCTAGCTCTTCAGTTGTAGAAATGGGTTCTTCGAATTCAGTTCTCAGTGCAACAGCAGCCAAACCAACAACCGACATGGTATCTTTGGCTTCAGCTTCTCCGGCTGGTGCATCCATTACACCTTGCATTCCTCCAACTCCGATCAAGGTGATGGAGGGTGATGGTGCTTCCTATGAAAGTGCTCAAGTCCAGTCAACTCCAGCAAAAGTTGCTTTCTCTCCCGCCAGGTTAATGTCTGCTACACCTGAACCTGGTCAGAAAAAGAGAAGGAATATGACCCCTGATGGCGATGCTACCAGCTCACCAAACAAGCTGGTAAGGCGCCTACCACGAACCAGGTTGTTTATATCAGATACCTCTGCAACGAATGCAGAGAATGAAGTGAATCGGATAAGGGTTGTGCCAGTTGATGATGATATTATTCTTCCCGAGAGACTTCTTGAATCGGTAAGTGCACCCTACTTTGTATTTTCGTTTCCCATTTCCTCGTAGAAGCGGAAACTGCGATTAGGTATCTGTTGAATGGTTATCATACTCAATGTGCTTGGATTGATAAGGCTAGCCGTGGACTTGCTTCGAATTTACTTAAAAACCTACTGCATTGTTGACCTGCAGATAAGAGAGAAGGAGAGAAAGGCTAATGAAGAGAAGGATCCAGCCATCTCGCAAGCAAAGAGGCGGCGACAGATGATCGCCTGTTTGCCGAAGCTCTTCAACGTGATTCATTTCTTGTTTCAGTCCTTAAGGAGATCAGTTATCACCAAGGAGGAACTTATCCACAAGATAATTGCTGGTCATTCAGATATTGTTGACAAAAGTAAGCACATCTTAGTAAATTTATGTAACGTAGTCAGCAGAGAGAGGGTTAGAACCAATCTAACTGCTCTTTAATGACATCTATTCACAGGAGAAGTGGAAGAGCAGTTAAAATTGCTGGAGGAACTAGTTCCAGAGTGGATATCTGAGAAAAAGGGATTAAGTGGCGATTTGCTGTGCTGGTAATTTCTGCTATATACAACTTGCTACTATTAACTGTAGGAAATCAAGTGGATTACATTTTGGAGTTCAATTCAGTATAGATTCTGATAATCAACACCTTTGTCCTTCCTTCCTGTCTATCTTATTTTTCAGCATTAGCAAAACTTCAAACGCAGAGGCCGTGAGAGCTCGTCTAGAGGAAGCGAAGTGAGCTACAAGAAATTCTCCTTTTTTCCTCTGATAGGAGCAGCATAGCGAGAGACATAGTTGGGCATAGCTACAGCTGGTCCTTTATTTATTAAGATTAGTATAGCAATATGGTCGTAGCAAGGTTTTGTAAAGGTGAGTTATTGTTCAGAAATCTTTGTTTCTTGCTCAATCCCGGGTACAACATGCAATGAAGCTGCAGATGGTAGGGGATAATCACAGAATCGATGTAATTATTCTGACATTTCTGGTTTTGTCTTACCTAATTTATTTCCTGCTGCAAGATCCTTGTTCACCACAATTGTTCTTGGCCCTGTTTTGGTACCATATTTACCAAGTATAGCTAGTTGAGATGCCGATAGTACTCGGTCAAGATGAAAGCAACAAACAAGGTGCCAATTCATTTCAACCCAATAGCTAGGGGTGGTAATCAAACTCGTCAAAGTTGATATCCGATATAGACAACGTTGGGAAATTTCTACATTGATTGGATACCGGGCTGATAGAACCAAGAGATATGGCTCTATCTAGGAATTAGAAGTAGGTTACATCAACTAGGGATTGATCGTCCAATGGAAAGGAAAGTGATGGGGATTTGGGAAGTTGAATAGAGATGGGAGAGGAGGAAGAAGTGTTGCGGCAGCAGTTTGCAGAGAGAGGAAGGATTTCGACAGAGGAAGAAGAGAGAGAAAGAATTAGGAGAAATTATTTTGGCTTAATCTTGCTTAGTGGGTAAATTTCACTTACAAGAATATTTATATAGTTGGATAGTTCTCTAATGCTACCCCAAATTATTAATCCTCCACAATTAACTGATAATAAATCCCAAATAGTTCTAAAGAACAATAAACAGACAAACAATCCAAATAATCAAATTGCAGAAATGCGGGTTTCTATCATCCCTGCCCTTTCAAAACAACCTTGTCATCAAGGTTTAAATCCAGTCTCCGGGTCTCTTCTCCCTTCCGCAACCTCGTCCTCCCAGCGCCCCATTAGCATCATCAAGTCAGGCCTCGCACACTCGTGTCCGAACGTGAATCTCTCATTGCAGTTAAATCACTTGCCTTCTTTCCTCTTTTGTTCGATCTCGACCGGGGATAACCTCACGAAGCCTTTGGTGACGCCCTCGCTCCAGGTCGACCTCCCGCTGATGTTGCAACCACTGCAGTCCCAACGCCTAAGCTCGCCCCGACTGGAGCGCCTCCTCCACTCGTGATTGCTACACTGCTACTCCCTCCTCCACCAGGCCTCTGATAGCGACCTATGGTGTTTCGCCAGCTCGCGAGCTCCTCTTTTTTTGTGACATGCAAGACAGAAAGCAGTCTTCAAGGAATCCGGCTCGAAGACCATGACCGTGGCAGCTATCTCAAGTTTCAAGCCCAACATACACAGCCCCACCATAGTGTACTCAGACACCCCTTTGCATTGGTTGCCCAGCTTAAAGAACTCTGCTCGGTAATCTGCAACGATCCCTGTCTGCTTCAACTTGGCCAGGTGCTCTGGAGCCCAGCCCTCCGACATACCAAACTTGTAACGGAGCTCCTCCTGAAATATCGACCACGTGATCAAAGTCCCAGCTGCAACGTAGTACGTCTCCATACATTCCCACCACTACAACGCATCTCCGTCCAAGTAGAAGGACGCCAGGTGCGCCTTCCGCTCTTCCCGTGTGGGATGGTTTCTGAACCATCTATCAGCTGCATGCAACCAAAATCATGCATCTTCTTGACCATTGAACTTTGGAAATTAAATGGTTGGAGGTTTGGTCTGGAAGACTAAATCATCATCTTCATCATAAGTATGGCGATATGATCCATACCTGTTGAAGCCCGACGTCCCACCAGGGTAGCCACGCGAGCATCTCTGCTCCCTCTCCCGAATCTCCGCATAGACCTCGCCTCTTGGGTAACCCCCATAACAACCTTTCTAGGACTGAGACCCCTGTCTGACATCCGTCCTCTGGTCGGGTTGGTGCATCGTAGCTCGTGGAGTCCTGAACGGTGGTAGGAGGCGCATGCCGTACCATAGGGGCTTTTCCAAGACGTCGAACCCTTGATGCACGCCCCAATCTGTTGCTGGTCGGGTCAGTAAGGGTCAACCCTGGTTCGACCCACCTCGGTTTGCCTGGCATCGGACCGACCGGTCCCCTAACCTAGCCCCAGCTTCTCTGTTCTTGGACCGACTCGACCAACGACTTGTATTTGTTCACCAGACTTACCTCATATTCTTCCTGTTCTTGGTCCAAGCCCAGCCAGCCTAGCCCATTGGATTCCTAGGGTACCCAACCACCCTTTTTCTTGGGTCGTAGAGTTCAACAACCCAAAGCCTGGATATTGGGCCCTATCGTCGTAGCCCGACATCTTATTCTTGCCCTTGAAGTCTGCAATTCTTGGGCCGTGGGTGTTGGCAGAAGCCCAGACTCGTCACCCTGCCCTAACGAACCATGGCCTGCACGCTCCATCCCACCGAGGTCAGTTGCCGCCCCTCATACCTTTGTGGCGCTCGCCGCCAACATCACCACCACGTCATGCGACGCCACCATCGTCTTCCTAGCCATCGGGTCACCTCCGACGTTCATCTCGGCCCCAGCCCTGCGGCTTCCATTGAACGTTTGCCAGAACCTCTTATATCTCACCCAACGTCCAACATTTGAGCCTTTTGCTCTTGTTCCTGCGCCGCAGTAGCCTCTCCAGGGTGGTCTTGAGATCATCCTCCTTCGTTTCATCAACCATCATTATGTCCTCCCTCGTAATTTCAAAATCCCTAATCTCAAATCATCTCTTGTTCTTCGTCATCTGCGAAGATGGATTCCTCGTCGGCGCGCTCTTCGGTGGCACAACGGCAGCATTGGACGACTCTCTGTCGTGGCCCTGTTTTGCTGTTTGAGCTCCAGATGAAACCTTCTTCTGGGCGGCCTTCTCGGCCGCTTTCTCGGCAACAGTATGCGATTTGGTTACCGCCATCGTTCGTCTCGGATCGTCCCCGGTCTAGAGTCGTAATAGCTTGACTCTCAACCAGCCTCTGATACCAAATGATAGAACTTAGAGATTTGGATCTATCTAAGGATTAGAAGTATGAAAGATCAACTAGGGATTGATCGTCCTAAGGGAAGGAAAGTGATGGGATTTGGGAAGTTGAATTGAGACGAGGGGGGAGGAAGAAGTGATGCGGCAGCCATTTGTAGAGAGAGAGGAAGGATTTGTGCAGAGGAGGAAGAGAAAGAGAGAGAATTAGGAGAAATGATTTAGGCTTAATCTTGCTTAGTGGGTAAATTCCACTTACAAGAATGTTTTTATAATTGGATATTTCTATAATGCTACCCCAAATTATTAATCCCCACGATTAACCTATAAGAAATTCCAAATCGTTCTAAAAAACAATAAACCGACAAACAACCCAAATAATCAAACTGCAGAAATGCGGGTTTATATCACGGGCGGGTATGGTTCAAACCAGTAAAGAGGTTGATGAGAATGGGCGGGTATGGTTTTATACTCTCCGCCTCTTACTCATACACATATGACATACCCTTCCCAACATGAGTTGTTCTTTATATATAAAAATATAATTATTATTTTGTAATTTGTCAATGGTAGTAGGGTAATTAAAAAACTGAATTTCTATTTGACACCCTAAATATTTGAAATTATCGCCCTAAATTATACTAAACTGGCGATTTAACCATATGTTCAAAATAACCTAAATCTTAATACAAAGACTCGCCGTCGAAACCTAGCAACCCCTCTATAATCAGAGGGTTGCCGCCGCAACCCACCGCCATCCGAGCCCGACCGCCGTCCTAGAAACCCACCGCCGTCCGAGTCCAGCCGCCCTTCCAGAAACAAGTCGCCGAAACCACTCCCCGTCTGAGCCCCTGCCACCCTCTTTGCAACCAGTCGTTGAACCAACGAGGAAGGAGATGCAGGAATCGCTGGGCGCCGTCGAGGAAGAAGGCTCCGAGCTCGTCGTTAACGTCGGCCCTCCCAGATCTTCCGTTCCATTGCCCCACGTCCCATTTTCCCGTCCCAGTGAAGTTCCCTACCCACCTATCCAGTGCCCGTGTCGGAATTTTCGTCCGGCCATGATCTTGACGGATTCCCAGTTCGCCGGCCCTCCGGTACAATTGCTCCCTTTATCCGTTCGATTTGCTTCCGTCGACAGCGGTGTCGGATAAGCCAGGAGGATTGAAGCTCGCGTGACTCTCTTCTTCCTTCTCCGATGGATATGGGAGACGGCACATGTGGCACCCGGCTCCTCTTCCTCCTGGACGGTGGTCGGAGGGATGGAAGAAGGAGAAACATATTGGATCGAGGGGAATGTGTTAATTAGGGCGATTTTTTTAAACGGTAAGAATGTAATATCGCTGGGATTTAGGGCGATTTTTTTTGAAATTTAGGGAGACGAATAGTAACGCCCAAAAAATACACCTCCATTAGCCACAATAATTTCTGACAATAATAGCCACTTTTGGATAAATAGACAAAACGTCCAGTTTCATCCAAAACTATAACGATGTCATCTAACAGGCTTACTGGACTAATGACTTTCATGACTTGGCAACATTTTGTAAAAAAATTTGACACATGGATTATTTAAAACAAAAAAAAATTGAAAAAAAAATTTCCCTTCACTTTCTCCCCTTTTTCTCAGAGCCCAAGCACTTTCCGAGAACATAAAATTCCTTGCTAATCGTCGTCTTCTCCTTCCACAGTTACCAATTTGCCGGTGATTTGTCTTTTACAAAAAGAGACTTGAAAAGAAATTGAAACCAGACCATAATTCGCCTATTACTGGCGCAGTGAGCTTCGCTCAGACCATCCAAGGCACTGCCACGACTACTTCGCCTATATCTTCGTATTCGACGAAAAATTCACCTACATAGCTATAACTATCGACTTTGTGACAATAATAGTCAATTTCTGAGAAATACACAAAATGTTCATATTTTGGAAACATGTTTGACAAATTTAGCCACTTCCATTACAAACTTTTAACGCCGTTAGAGATTTTGTCAGTTACATTAGCAAGACGATGATGAGGATGCCACCTTGACGCACACGTCAGATGCAACTCGACATAAATGCCGCGTTGACCCGACATCATACTTTAATGGAAAAATACACATGTATAACCGTAACTATTGACTTTGTGACAATAATAGCCAATTTCTCAGAAATAGACAAAATGTCCAAGTTCTTTTAAAACTGTAACGGAGTTATTTTAGATGCTGACTCGACTAACATTTTTGTTGACTTGGTGATACTTAATATAAAAATTTCAGGGTGTAATTAATTAAATTCACTTGCATAGCCAGATTGTATTGGTTATATTTCGTTATTCATACGTGTTGACTAATTGTCAACTCGCCACGTCATCACATACTACTTAAAAAATGAAAAAGATAAATGAAAGAGACCGGACAATTTTAATTTCTTTTCCTTTTTTATCTTTTTTTGTTCAAAATAAAAAAAGATAAATTGTAATAGGTGGAAAAAACCAAAATTTTAAAGTGGTCTGTGATGACTTGGTAGTGACGTGACGCGTTGACCATTAGTGAAAGCGTTTGACCGTCCAAGATAACGGCCAAATCTTAGATTTGGCCAATTGCGTAACTTTAATGCATAATTGAGGCCACAAAATTATAGATAAAAAAATTAATCAAAATATTTAATATATGAAAAACTCGTACCATACAAATATATTAACCCTTTATTTTATAATATCTTACAAACTTACCACATAAGCTAGCTAGAACGGCTTCTTGAATGATACGATCATAACACCGTCATTATTGGTAATATACCATCATCAAAGCAAGGCTAATGCTGCAAGACGGTTTACTTTTCACAATCTGTACTATCAATCAAGTGATTATTCTCAAACATGATTCGTTATCTTGGCTATTCTCTGCAACATATATATATATATATATATATATCTACATAAGAAAGAGCAACATATCATCACCTTATTTTTCCATCTCCCAAATTCCAGTATCCAATATAGTCCCCCCCCTAAACTACGGCTTCAAGACAATTTAAAGTGAGAAAGTGGGGAGCCATTGGACTTAAAATAGTCGAGAAACTCAACCAAATGAACCTCCCTGTAAACGGGCTCCACATGATCACCACCCAGCAGAACCAGCTCCTTGGCAGGCCCGTAAAGCCTGTACTTATTCTCCGAGCCAGGGCCGAAGAAGCAAGCAACCGAGGAACGAGTCGTGGAGCTCTGAGCTACGACGCGATGCTCCACGCTCTTGAACTTGTCGTTGGTGATGAGCTGCAGGAAATCGCCGACGTTCACCACCAGAGCTCCTTGCGCCGATTTCGGCATGTCGACCCACCGGTCGTGGTTTCGAACCTGGAGCCCTTGGTTGTGGTCTTGGAGGAGGATGGTGAGGCAGAAAGGATCGGTGTGCTTTGAGGAACCGATGGTGAGGTGAGGCTGGGGGCAAGGTGGGTAGTAGTGGCACGCCATTGTCTGTGATTCCATGCACTTGATGGTGGAGAGGTGATCTCGATTCAGTCCCGCGGCATCGGAGAGGAGTTCCGCCAGCTTGTTTTTCAGCTTGAGTGTTTGTTTCAGGTACTCTGTTGCGACTTCCCTGCCCATCAAGAAAGCTAGGTTTTTTTAGCAGTAGTTCACGATTGGCAAACCGGATAGCTAGACATCGTGAATGATATCTATTGCGGTGAAAAGTTACGTTGTCGATGTGAAATATTGATGAACTCATAGTGTCCACGAAAAAGGTGTCATGATTACTCAACCAATCACACATTTTAAATAATTTATCTAAATTAAGTTTTGCTATAAGTAGAGATGTGAAAAATTCGCTACAAATACATACATGTATATATGGTGGCTTATACTAAATAAATATGAAGGTGTACGAACATAAATTTTTAGAAATGTATTAAATACAAGCGAATCATAATAATTTTATGAAATTTTTTAGATATTCTTGTTTCTCGTAATACATTTGAAGACTGAAAATATATGTGCTTCATTTAATGGATTTTGAATAGATTTACACAGAAGAATCAATTTAATTGTAAACTCCAAGATAACATTCACTTTGATATTTTGTTAACTGTTTTTTTTTTTTTAAAGAATCTTGTAGCAAACAATATATTGTGTTAGAAAATCTATATATGCCATGCAGTTCTATACCGTGGTGTTACAGAGGTAGTATAACTTGGCCTGCTATGTATGGTATACGTTTGTACCACTCTTGGTACGCCTAACCCTAACAAAGTTCATACATTTTCTCCCCTGAAACATATATCAAAATAGATAAAAAAATTTGTGTAATATTTTTTTTAAGTTAGAGTTAAAATGAAAGAATATAAGTCAGTTAAGAAATTTACGAATCTAATTTTGTGTAATATGTTTTTTTTTAAGTTAGAAGTTTATATCTCTTTTTATTTCAATTTCAAAAAAATTACCTGGAAAAAATATTATTTGTTATATGATAATGACATTCATTTCAATAAATTTCAAATAAAATCGTTGTAATAACATATATCACCATCACATGATTTGTGCCACTATGACATATTTTATAAACCACGTACCTTAGTATAGTTTAGTGTCACCATGTGTGATATATGTAGCATATTAACCTGGTACATCATGTTACAAATAATCTCTTTGATTTTTTTTTAATATATCCAAATGCATCCTATATTTTCAATGTCGCAATTAATCTATTTTTAAAAATATTTTGAACTTCAAGTTGAAATAAAAGATATTATAGTCAATTAAAATTTAGTGTTAGAAGTGATTAAGTAATCATGAATAAATAAGTTTATTTTTATCGTACCTTTATTCAGATAACTATGACGACCCTACAATTAACTCAAATGAAAAAAAGTTTATAAGTCAACAACTAAAATTTTTTTTTTACGACCAACGAAACTTGTGGTTACATGTCTAATGAGGCCGAGACCAGATATTCAAAAGTGTCCGCGTACTAGTACTAGCAGTGCCATGAAATCCTAAATCACATTCACACATGACTAATTAAGCCAGCAAAGATCGACGATACGCCTTTTTAGGAAAAGTTATTCATGTTATAGGGTGTGAACAAAGAAAAACGGGAATTAGTAATTAATTGTTGCTAGATAGATTTATAAGATGTCCGAATAAAAATAAACAAAAACTTATCAAATCCATTGTATTCAATGAAACAAGAAAGAAACCAAACAACCATAAAAAAAAAACAACCAAACTAACTTTATGAAGGTGATGTACGTACGCACCTGCATACAGGAGGAACAGATTGCTGGTCCAACCCGCCGTCCGGAACGTGAAACGCCAGCGTATCCCTCCAGTCCGCCGGCGCCGCTCGATCCAGCAGCCTGCCGTTGCTGACGTACCTAACGGGCCTGGTGACGTCCCGAGAGTAAAACGCCATCTTCTCCTCACGTGGCAGCTCGTGGAACCTCCTGGTCGACGCCAGCATTTCCTCCATGAGCTCCGCCTCCACGCCGTGGTTGACGACCTGGAAGAACCCCCAAGTCCCCGCCGCCTCCCTGATCTGCTCCACCACCTCCTCCCACCGGCCGCCCCCCATGTCTATCACCGGCGGCATGTGGTGGACGGGCGGATCCCCGACCCCTGCTACCACGGCGTCGTTTTCGGGAGGGTGGATGAAGAAACGAGGGATGGTGGTGAGCCCGGCGTCCACCAGGCCCTTGACGCCGGCTTTCGTGTCTTCGAACGCCTTGACGTCGGCCGCCCTGTCGTAGTCCGGCTGGGAGGTGACGGCGGGGGCCGGCGGGTTGGATGGGATTGGGAGGAGATCGGAGGTGAGGAGTAGTGGTGGTGAGATGATGGTTTGCGCCAGCGCCATGGCTTTGTGTTGTTGGGGTTGGAACGTGCTTAGTTGTGGTGCTTGCTTAGGTCTTGCTCTCTTTAATACAGGAGAGTCAACGCAACGGTGTTGCCGAAAGAATGATAAAAGAAATGAATTGTGCATCGGATCGGATGAGGATGTGCACATTAGTATATAGTATAGAATACCGTCGACTATCGATAGCGAAATATTGCGTCATTGTTGCCTTGAGGTGTGTGGCTCAAAAAGTCAACACATAGGAGATTTTGACTTCGGAACGGTTGTTGTAACGTATGCGTATTGATTATTTGATTGGGAACTTTTGTTGCGAACTGTTAGCCATAAATACTGAAAGTGTTTGCTTTTCCCTATAGATACTAAATAGATAACAATTTCGATACGGATCTCTCATCTCTGAGGTGTTTATGAAAGCTTTGAAATGAACTGACACCTTTTATTAATGACGATGATTAACATTAAATACATAGACTCCAGCCATGAAGATCGGCCATTACTAACTACCACATTCACATGATATGTGGTTCCTTGATTTCAGCTACCAACTTAACCCACTAACACTGCAGACATGGTTGCAAAGCAACCTGACTCGACACAAAGACTTGACTGAACAATAACATAACATTGGGACCAGACTGAGACTTAACCAAACGACTCAGCAACACCAAAACGCCTCAACTGCTTCTTATTTCCAACGGCTACTTACTTTACCAACATATCCTCCCCTGAACTGAACATTCCCAGCAGATTTCAGTTCATTTTTTTGACAGTCTGGCTTCCTGCAACTTCAACCACTCCAAGCTTGCTTCTTAGCAGTTCAAAGGCCTCAAGCTTTAGAGCCTTCGTCATCACATCAGCCACTTGCTCATGAGTTCCACAGTGCACAAGCTCCACCACTTCTTCTTTAGCTAAGTCTTTGAAAAAGTGGAATCTCACGTCGATATGTTTGCTCCTTCCATGAAGAACATGGTTCTTCGATAGCTTAATTGCAGAATTATTGTCGCAGAAGATCTTTGTAGCTTCAGAAACACTTGACTCCATCCCATTTGTTCCAAAATTCTCTTCAGCCATACACATTGAGATGCACAATAAGAACCAACAACAAATATGCTTAACAGGCAGACTGAGTACATGACATCAGTTTTAGTTGCTGTCACATACAGTAGGCTGCCTATTAGTTGTTTGTACTCAGTGGAATTCACTTGTATGCCATCCCCAGCCTTTGTGATCTTCATTCCAGGAGCTATAGGATTCCTTACAAAATTGTAGTCTAGCAATTTGAACTTCTCTAGAATTTCTCTAATGTATTTCTGCTGACATAGATAAATGCCTTGATCATCTTGAATTACTTCTACTCCCAGGAAGTACCATAGTTTCCCAGGATCAATCATCTCAAATTGCTCTTTCATTGATGACTTGAATTCTTCAATAATATTTGGACTGTTGCTGGTATACATCAGGTCATCCACATAGAGGCTAACTATTGGAATCGATTCCCTAGCTCTTTTGATGGATAGTGTATGTTCATATGTACTTCTTTCAAACCCAGCCTGCATGAAATAAGTCTCAATCTTGCTATACCAGGCCCTAGGTGCCTGTTTCATGCCATAGAGAGCCTTATTGAGTTTATAGACTTTCCTTTCCTCCCAAACAATCACAAAACCTTGTGGTTGCTCCACATACACATCTTCATGGAGGTCTCCATGCAAGAATGCGCTTTTGACATCTAGCTGATAGACAGTGAGTCCATGGTGAGCAGCTAGTGCCAATAGGGTTCTTATTGTATCCCATCGAGCCACCGGAGCAAACACTTCAGTGTAGTCGATGCCAGCTTGTTGATAATATCCTTTGGCCACTAGACAAGCCCTGTGCTTATCTAGGGATCCATCTTCTTTCTCTTTGGTTCTGCATACCCACTTCAAGCCAATTGGTTGCACACCAGGTGGAAGATCAGTGAGAGTCCAGACCTGATTCTTCTTTATTGCTTTCATTTCTGTCTACATTGCTTCTTTCCATTTAGGATCCAAAATTGCATCCTCAAAGGTCTGAAAATTACTGGTTACAACCACCATTGCCTTCCAATCAGAGTTGATGAAGAAGCTGCAATCATAGTCATTGAGTCTTGCTGGCCTGTGTCTTGATCTAAGACCCAGTTCTTCTTCAGATGATGCTGCAGAAGAGTTAAATTCAGTTTCTTCCTCCTCCTGATCTGCATTGTTGGTGTTGGAAGGAACTGGTACAGTTTGAGTGTTGGGATCAGCAATGACTTCTGGTATTGCTTCATTGGGCTCCATATCTTCATCCTCTAAGTCTAACCATGGTTCTTCACATCCTTCCCAGTAGATTTATGTTAGGACTGGTTGAATCTCATAATTCCATTCCCAACCCTTTGTCTCATCAAAGATTGCATCCCTGCTGACCATTATATTCTTTGTATTGGGATTGTAAAGCTTGTAGGCTTTAGATTCAGTAGAGAGTCCCAGGAAGTGACAAGTTGTGCTCTTGTCATCAAGCTTTCTTCTTTTCTGGCCAGCAACATGGAAATATGTTGTACATCCAAACACCTTAAAGTGAGATACTGAAGGAGGGTAGCAAGTCCATATTTCCTGAGGTGTCTTGCCCTTGTTGGCCACTGTAGAAGTTCATTTCAGGACATGAGATGTCGGGGATTTTCCCAATAATAGCACGTTTAAAAAAAATTACAAAACTAGCACCCATCCGAAAAAATTGACAGAAATAGCACCATTTTTAATGGAACACACCCCTAGGTGCGTTTTACTTATAAACCGCCTCTTAGGGGTGCGTTCCATGTCACGTCAGCACGCGAACCTCACCAGGAAGGTGCGGTGTGCTTTCTTTGCGGAACGGTCTTCAAGATCGTTGGATGGAGAAGCGATCGGACGGCGGACCGTGCCCTAGCAGAGCGATCCGCGCCATGGATCAAGGACCGCACCTGCAAGGAGCGGTCAGCGCCTCGTGACTCGCAAACCGCATCGGAAGGGAGCAGTTTCTGCGAGGGGAAAATTACCAGACCGCCCCTGAAGGGTGCGGTCTGGTAAGTATAAATAACCCCCCTTCCCCTCTCATTTCTTCACACCACAACCCATTCTTCCTTCTCTCTCTAGAATTTATCTCTCTAAACCCTCCCCTCCCAAAATTCTAGGAAATAGTGGTCTTTTGGTTGCGGCTAAGTTCGATCTGCCATCAGAAAAGATTTCTTAGGTTTTTTCCTCAAAACCCTCTGAGCCGAGCCGAATCTCTGTCCGAATTTCCCGAAAAAATGGCCGATTGGTGTCAAGGAGATGGAGTTTATGTTGATGAATTTCAAGTGGTACGTACTCATTATTCTGGTTTAATTTTTGTTGTTGTTATAAGCTTTTTAATTAATCTATGTACTAACCTCGTTGTTATTTTCTCGTAGGTTGGGGAGGACGTGGATATATACAACCAACGGTATTATCTCGAGTAAGGACCGTTGGATCCAACCGACTTGTACGACCAACCCAACCATCGGTCAAGGGATGTTTGGAACGATCACCTGGTACATACAATTCTTCACCATTTGTCCTTCTTTTATTTTGTTAATGTATTTAGTGGAATACAAAATAAATTTATGTTGAATTTTTAATCGTGTTGGTTGTTTTCAATAATTTAATCGAATACATAGCGCCACTTACTTCGACTCTTTATAAAGAGATGCACGTCTAAGGAAATGGGGTTTTAAGCGATTATCATATCCTCCCATTCCCTGGGAAATCAGGTATTAAGAGATCCTCGGATCCTCCCTTTTTCTGTCAAAAAGACTGTGTTTCTAAGAAGATGTATACCTCTTCTAAGAGTCTAACGAGTGTTGCTCTGTATTCGATTAAATTATTTAAAACAACCAATACGCTTAAATTATTTACCAAACAACCAATACGATTTATTTTTATGTGTACAAAATGAATTTTATTAATTTCAAACATTTGAATATGTATGTTTCTCTTTAAATTATTATTCATTAACAATGTTATTTATGTTAATTAATTTAGTATGTTTGTTTTACGATAATATGTATGTATCTCATTAAATTATTATTCATTTAGAATGTTAATATGTTAATTAATTTAGGATGTTTGTTTTATGATAATATGTATGTATCTCTTTAAATTATTATTGATTTAGAATGTTATTATGTTAATTATATGAAATGTCTTTTTATGATAATAAAATTCTGCTTGAAGTTAGATAATTTAATTTAATTAATTTAGTTATAAGAAAAAAACCCTTACTAATATATAATAATTAACGTGTAAATTTTCGCTAGGAGGCACAAACAATACTCCGCTACAAGGGTACGACCAATGTGCTCCCATTCCACCCAGCTATCTTGCCCTTTCTCAAAAGGGCACGGTTGGACCCGATTAGGCATTTTAACGGCATCAAAGTTGATCGCCAACTCATCACCGCATTAGCTGAGAGATGGAGAAAGGAGACCTATTATTTCAACTTTAGAGAAGGAGAGGCCACCATCACGCTAAAGGATGTTGCCATCCTAACCTATCTGCCCATCGACGGCAAACCGGTGTGCGTGAGTGATCATCTCCCCGAGGATCGTGACGGTATGCCCGGTTGGGTTCATTTCATCCACAGTGTTTTGGGCGTGAAAGTACCAGTGAAGGGGTGCATTGATGCGACCGATCGCATGCCACCAATGAGGAAACACCAAGTCTCAATTACTTGGTTGACGAAGTATTTTAGAGACCATTACGAGAGTCATCCCCTAATCGAGGAAAGTCCGGAGGATGAGAAGGAGAGATATGCTCATGTCTATCTCATAGGCATGATCGGAGGAGTGTTCTTCTCCAAAAAATCATGCAATCTCCTTAGTTGTGGATGGCTTAGGATCATCCTCGGTAGTTGGGAGGAGATGGGGGAGTATAGATGGGCATCCGCTTGCCTAGCTAATATCTACCACAACTTGTGCAATGCGTCTCGAAAAGCTGTGAGAGAGGTCGGCG